AAAATTTGAGACAAAATAGAGCAAAAAATAAGCGAGATACTACTAAAAAAACAACGTCATGTAGATTAATGATGTGAACGAAATTCACCTTCCATAGGCATAACAGGCAACTTAAGAAATTTCTGATATGTGCCCTTTAATCGTAATTTTCACTATGATGACGTGATCAAAATGAAAAATAATAGCAACTAAGCTTGTAGAGAATTGTCTTAGCTACAACATATCAAAATTTGATAGAAAATCGATCAATATTTACAGAGATACAATCAATTTTTCATAAATATGCTGACGTCATAATATGCAAATTCGTATTTTGAGTTCCAAGGCCATTATGATGATGTCACGATACACTTAATGGCCAAATGAGACATGGAATCATATCTCCGACTCATACTCTATCTAAATATGAAAAAAAATTGAAGGTCACGGTTCATTCCAAAGAGCTATAATGGATTTTGTATAGGCATGTTTTTGCCCATATATGTTATGTATTAAAAGAGCTCGTGCGCACGGACATTTATCTTGAATTGACGCTCATCTTGTTATTAATGGTCATAAAGAGATAAACATGGTATCAAATTCCTCGAAGAAATATGAGAAATATCATGAAAGAAAATAAATGGCAATTCTATGTTTTGTTATGGTGTTACGCGCGAAAACGCGCGCGCATGCGCGTGTGCGCGATTTTTTATAAAATGCTTAAAATGACCTGAAACATATACAAAATAAATTTGAGACGATTTTGAGCATTTAAAAATTTTGCGCGCGCAATGACGCATGGACGTACGCGCACGCGCGCGTTTTTTGACCTGATATTGACCGGAGTGATATTGACCTTAATCATAATAAATATGAATGAGAAATACCTTTTGGTTATGAAGATATGATCATGAGTAAATTTTCAGAAAATTTCACAAAATGGCGCTTAGATGACGTCATCAGTCAAGGTCAAGGTTGAAAACCTTACCGTGTTTTGTCCATATGCCTTTACATATGTGTGCCAAATTTCAAAGCATTTGATTGAATCATTTCAAAGTTATCTTGCTAACAAAAAGTGGGTCAAAATAAGAAAAATAAATAAATAACTAGACATAATACTTGTTTGGAACAAGTATAGGTGGGCTGGTCAAATTTGACACAAAATAGAGCAAAAATAAGCGAGATACTGCTAAAAAACAATGTCATGTAGATTAATGATGTGAACGAAATTCACCTTCCATAGGCATAACACGTAACTTAAGAAATTTCTGATATGTGCCTTTAATCGTAATTTTCACTATGATGACGTGATCAAAATGAAAAATGATGATGACTAAGCTTGTAGAGAATTGTCTTTGCTACAACATATCGAAATTTGGAAGAAAATCGATCAATATTTACAGAGATACAATCAATTTTCCATAAATATGCTGACGTCATAATATGCAAATTCGTATTTTGAGTTCCAAGGCCATTATGATGATGTCACGATACACTTAATGGCCAAATGAGACATGGAATCATATCTCCGACTCATACTCTATCAAAATATGAAAAAAAATTGGGGTCACCTTGCATCCTAAAGAGCTACAATGGATTTTGAATAGGCATGTTTTTGCCCATATATGCTATGTATTACAATAGCTCGCGCGCACGGAAATTTATGTTTAACGGTCGATCATTCCGTCATTAATAGTCATAAAGAGATAAACATGGTCATTAATAGTCATAAAGAGATAAACATGGTATCAATTTGTTTGTAAAAATATGTGGAATATTATGAAAGAAAAAAAATGGCGATTCTATGTTGTGCAATAGTTTTACGCGCGAAAACGCGCACGCACGCGCGTGTGCGCGATTTTTTATAAAATGCTTAGAATGGCCTAAAACGTATGCAAAATGATTTTGAGACGATTTTGAGCATTTTAAAATTTTGCGCGCGCATTGACGCGCGGACGTACTTGCATGCGCGCGTTATTTGACCTGAAATTGACCGGACGGATATTGACCTTGATCATGATAAATATGAATGAGAAATAGCTTTTGGTTATGAAGATATGATCATGAGTTGATTTTCGTAAAATTTTACAAAATGGCGCCTAGATGACGTCATCAGTGAAGGTCAATGTTGAAAACGTTATTGTGCTTTGTACATATGCCTATACAAATTTGTGTAAAATTTGAAGGCATTTGATTGAGCCATTTTCAAGTTATCTTGCGAACAAAAAAGTGGTTAGAAATAAGAAAAATATTTAATAACTAGACATATAATACTTGTTTGGAACAAGTATAGGTGGGCTGGTCAACTAAAACTTGAGACAAAATAGAGCAAAATTAAGCGAGATACTGCTTAAAAATTCTTAAAAAACACTATCATGTAGATTCATTACGTCAACGAAATTCACCTTCTATAGTCATAACACACAAATTATGAAACTTCTGACATGAGGCCTTTAATCAAAATTTTCACTCTGATGACCTCATCAAAATTAAAAAATAGTTATTTATGAACTTGTAGAGAATTATGATAGCTACAACATATCGAAATTTTGAAGAAAATCGATCAATATATACAGAGATACAATCAATTTTCCATAAATATGCTGACGTCATAATATGCAAATTCCTATTTTTAGTTCGAAGGTCATTATGATGATGTCACGATACACTTAATGGCCAAATGAGACATGGAATCATATCTCCGACTCATACTCTATCCAAATATGAAAACAAATTGAAGGTCACGGTTCATTTCAAAGAGCTATAATGGATTTTGTATAGGCATGTTTTTGCCTATAAATGCTATGTATTAAAGGAGGTCGCGCGCACGGACGTTTATCTTGAATGGACGCTCATCTTGTTATTAATGGTCATAAAGAGATAAAAATGGAATCAAATTCCTTGAAAAAATATGAGAAATATCATGATAGAAAAAAAATGGCGATTCTATGTTTTGTAATGGTTTTACGCGCAAAAACGCGCGCGCATGTGTGTGTGCGCGATTTTTTATAAAATGCTTAAAATTACCTGAAACGTATGCAAAATAAATTTGAGACAATTTTGAGCATTTAAAAAATTTGCGCGCGCACTGACGCGCGGACGTACGCGCACGCGCGCGTTTTTGGACCTGGAATTGACCGCACTGATATTGACCTTGATCATGATAAATATGAATGAGAAATAACTTTTGGTTATGAAGATATGATCATGAGTTTATTTTCAGAAAAATTCACAAAATGGCGCCTAGATGACGTCATCAGTCAAGGTCAAGGTTGAAAACCTTACCGTGCTTTGTCCATATGCATATACATATGTGTGCCAAATTTCAATTTATTTGATTAAGCCATTTTCAAGTTATCTTGCTAACAAAAAAGTGGTAAGAATTAAGAAAAACTAGACATATAATACTTGTTTGGAACAAGTATAGGTGGGCTGGTCAACTAAAATTTGACACAAAATGGAGCAAAAACTAGATTTGTAATACTTGTTTGGAACAAGTATAGGTGGGCTGATCCAACAAAAAATTGAGACAAAATAAAGGGTACATTTAAGATAGCTTTTTGTCTCAGCTACAACATACTCGAAGTTCAGCGTAAATGAAGCTAAAACGATGTAGATATTGCTCGCGAAAGACGGGAATGTAGAATCGAGTTTTGAGAAAAAGTCATGTCCCATAGAGAATACACGCAAAATGTGAAAAATTGACATGCCTCCTTTAATCGCAAAAATACGCCATGATGCCTTTGTCAAAATGAAATATAGTAGCAACTGCATTTGTAGGAAATTGTCTCAGCTAAAACATATCAAAATTTGTAAGAAAATCGATCAATATTTACAGAGATACAATCAATTTTCCATAAATATGCTGACGTCATAATATGCAAATTGGAATTTTGAGTTCGGAGGCTATTTTGATGACGTCATGAGTTAATTGAGGGTCAAATAAGACATGAAAAAATATCTCCGAATCATACTCTTTTAAAATATGAAAAAAAATTGGGGTCACCTTGCATCCAAAAGGGCTACAATGGATTTTGTATAGGCATGTTTTTTGCCCATATATGCTATGTATTACAAGAGCTCGCGCGCACGGAAATTTTTGTTAAACGGTCGATCATTCCGTTATTAATAGTCATAAAGAGACAAACATGGTATCAATTTGTTTGTAAATATATGTGGAATATTATGAAGAAAAAAAATGGCGATTCTATGTTGTGCAAAAGTTTTACGCGCGAAAACGCGCACGCATGTGCGTGTGCGCGATTTTTTATGAAATGCTTAGAATGGCCTAAAACGTATGCAAAATGATTTTGAGACGATTTTGAGCATTTCAAAATTTTGCGCGCGCATTGACGCGCGGACGTACGCGCACGCGCGCGTTATTTGACCTCAAATTGACCGGACGGATATTGACCTTGATCATGATAAATATGAATGAGAAATACCTTTTGGTTATGAAGATATGATCATGAGTTGATTTTCGTAAAATCTTACAAAATGGCGCCTAGATGACGTCATCAGTGAAGGTCAATGTTGAAAACATTATTGTGCTTTGTACATATGCCTATACATATGTGTGCCAAATTTCAAGGCATTTGATTGAGCCATTTCCAAGTTATCTTGCCAACAAAAAAGTGGTTAGAAATAAGAAAAATATATAATAATAAATAAATAAATAAAGGCAATTCTAACGAAATTATAAGGTGGTCTGTACGTTATGGCACAGTCACACGGCCACTTACGGTAGCTGCGGATGCTTACGGATAAAAGTCCGTAAGCATCCGCAAGGATCCGTATCATCCGTAAGCATCCGTATCCATCCGTAATTCAATCCGCAGGATCCGCAGACATACGCAGATCCGCAGCGGAATTTTGAAAATCTCAAAATTTTGCTGCGGATGAAATATACGTAAGCATCCGCAGAATATACGTTATCCATACGTAAAATACGTAACTCATACGTAAGATACGTAAACTCATCCGCAGGATACGTTAGATACGTAACTGATCCGCATACTTTGTCGGGTGTGCGGATGCCTGCGGATACATAGGGGTACGTAAACACTATTACGTAGGAGTTACGTATGTTTAACGTATTTTTGACATATATATTGCGGATCTTACGATAGGACTTGCGTATGCTTGCGGATGGGATACGAATATTACGGATGGGATACGGATGTTACGGATTGGATATGTATGTTACGGTTGAGATACGGATAATATGCGGAATTTTTACCTATGTCTTCTTTCATTTCGGCGGATGTCGCCCATGCCAAATGGTCTTCACTTGGGTATGCAACCCTGGATGCTGCCAGCATCCTCATCATTGTCAGTTCTTCAACTGTAGACTTTCACAGGTCACTCAAGATGGAGAGAGAACACCGCCTTGTGTTGCTGGATTGTTTGATGGCCATCCAACACAATCAGATGCAGATGAAGATCCTGATGGCCAAGATGCAAGCCATCCTTGAAAGGAGAAAAGAGAGGATGTGTTGGGTTCGTCACTGGATCACATTGCGACCACACCAGGGTGCCTATGGTAACCTGATGCACCTGCTACGCAATGAGGATGTTCAGGGCTTCCGCAACTTCACCCGCATCACACCTGCCATGTTTGCCGAAATGGTCACCCGCCTCACTCCTCGCTTACAGAAGTATGATACCTGGTACAGGAAGGCCCTTCCAGTAGGCTTGAAGGTCGCCATCACCATGCGCTACCTTGCCAGTGGGGACTCCTACCACAGCCTGATGTACCTATTCTATGTACCCCACAACACCATCTCACTCTTGGTGTTGGACGTGTGTCAGGCCATCTACGCTGAGTATGGCGAGGAGACCATCAGCAACCCATCTACTCCAGAGGGGTGGAAGGGCATTGCCCAGACCTTCTCCGACCGGTGGAACTTCCACCATTGCCTGGGAGCCTTAGATGGCAAGCACATCCGCATCAAGGCACCCGCGAACTGTGGCTCCCAGTTCTACAACTATAAGGGGTACAACTCGATTGTACTCCTTGCCCTGGTTGATGGCAACTACAAGTTCCGGTGGGTGGAGGTGGGAGCAGGTGGTGCGAGTTCTGATGCCCAGATTTGGAACACGTGCAGTCTGAAAGAGGCAATTGACGATGAGAACATTGGAATACCACCAGATGAGCCACTGCCTCATGACGATCGAGACATCCCTTATTTCGTGATTGCTGACGCTGCATTTGCACTACGCACCACCCTGATGAAGCCTTTTGGTGCCAAGCCACTGACCATGGAGGAGAGGATATTTAACTATAGACTTTCCAGAGCCAGGAGATGTGTGGAGAATGCCTTTGGCATTCTTGCAAACAGATTCCGGTGTCTTCTGAGTGCTATGGCACAGGTGCCTTCCACAGTGGAGACCATCGTCCTCGCCTGCCTGTACATCCACAACCTCCTGAGAGACCAGGCATCCGCTGAGCAGAATGGCATGATGGACAGAGAGGACGACCAGCACAACATCATCCCGGGTGCATGGAGAGAGGGGGGCGTGCTGGATGACATGCAACAGAGGCTTGCTGGCAACTACACCACCAAGATTGCCAAGCGCCAGCGCCTGTACCTCAAGCATTACTACAATGGCAACGCCGGAGCAGTTCCCTGGCAGCAGCGCATGGCCTAAGCAGTTGGCCAAACATAACAAACAGACAAATCATGCAACTCTTGATGCTTAAATTTGACAACAAAAAAATTGAACAAGGTAACGAAAGGATGTAAATTTATTTATAAAATCTGTGTTGAGAAAATCTTTAAAACTCCTATTTCACAAAACAAATGGAGGAACATTGTTTCAAAACCAATTGTTACTTGGGACAAAATTTATATGATTCCTTTTAAATGTTCTTTATCAAGAAAACTTAGATATTTACAATATAAAATCTTCATAATATCCTTGGTGTTAACAAGTATCTGAAAACTGTTGGTATATTAAATTTGTGTTCTTTTTGTTCAAAACACTCTGAAACTATTGCCCATTTATTTTGGGAATGCCCCTTCAATCGTCGATTTTTAGATGATTTTGAAAAATACACTCTCAAAAGTGAAATAATGTTATCTTTTAATGATTTTGTATTTGGCATACCAGGTGGAAATTATTCTTCTTTTAATTTTGATATTTTATATGCTAAATATTATATATTTTCAGCTAGGTGTTTAAATGGTTATTTATCGTTTTCATCATTGGGGGGTGGGGGAACCGTCAGCTCTGCCAGGGATGGTCCCTCTTCTTCTACCTTTTGAGCCTCTTCCTCTGCCTGGGGAGGCTGTTGTGGCTGCTCACTCACTGGAGGATTCTTCCTGGTTTTTCTGCTACTTCTTCTGCCAGACATGATGCACACGAAAGTCCAAAAAGATGGAGAAGAAACTGTTGAATAACTGGAACTAGATCTCAGACTTGATGAAATGCGACTGAAGCAAGCTCCGATCCACGTGGGTTTATATGCGGATGGTGCGGACGCCAGAGGAAGCCGACATGCGCAGACACGAGCGTAACTTATCCGTATCGTCCGTAAGTCATCCGTATCGTCCGTAAGTCATCCGTAAAATCCGTAAGTCATCCGCAAGTCGTCAGTAACATGTGTCAGCGGGTTGGCAGCGGATGGGTTCATCCGCAGGTTTTACCCGTAACATCCGTAATTCATACGTAACATCCGTAACTAATCCGTATCGTTCGCAGAATATAGGTAACTTTTGCTCAAATTTCCGTATTGGGGTTAAAAATTACGCATTTTCATTATCCAAATATACGCAGGCATCCGCAGGTCCGTAAAATGGCCGTGTGACTGTAGCATTATACAGCCCACCTGATAAGCGAGATACTGCTAAAAAACAATGTCATGTAGATTAATGATGTGAACGAAATTCACCTTCCATAGGCATAACACGCAACTTAAGAAATTTCTGATATGTGCCTTTAATCGTAAATTTCACTATGATGACGTGATCAAAATGAAAAATGATGATGACTGAGCTTGTAGAGAATTGTCTTTGCTACAACATATCGAAATTTGGAAGAAAATCGATCAATATTTACAGAGATACAATCAATTTTCCATAGGATTTCCATGGATTTTGTATAGGCATGTTTTTGCCCATATACGCTATGTATTAAAAGAGCTCGCGCGCACTGACATTTATCTTGAATTTACGCTCATCTTGTTAATAATGGTCATAAAGAGATAAACATGGTATCAAATTCCTTGAAAAAATATGAGAAATATCATGAAAGAAAAAAAAATGGCGATTCTATGTTTTGTAATGGTGTTACGCGCGAAAACGCGCGTGCATGCTCGTACGCGCGATTTTTTATAAAATGCTTAAAATGACCTGAAACGTATGCAAAATAAATTTGAGACGATTTTGAGCATTTAAATTTTTTGCGCGCGCACTGACGCGCGGACGTACGCGCACGCGTGCGTTTTTTGACCTAAAATTGACTGGACTGATATTGACCTTGATCATAATAAATATGAATGAGAAATACCTTTTGGTTATGAAGATATGATCATGAGTTGATTTTCAGAAAATTTCACAAAATGGCGCCTAGATGACGTCATCAGTCAAGGTCAAGGTTGAAAACCTTACATTGCTTTGTCCATATGCCTATACATATGTGTGTCAAATTTCATTTCATTTAATTCAGCCATTTCTAAGTTATCTTGCTAACAAAAAAGTGGTAAGAATTAAGAAAAATAAATAATAAAGAAATAAATAAAGGCGATTTTAACAAAAATATAAGGTGGTCTGTATTAGATACAGCCCACCTGATAAATAATAAAGAATAAATAAAGGCGATTTTAACAAAAATATAAGGTGGTCTGTATTAGATACAGCCCACCTGATAATAAATAAATAATTAGAAATTTAATTCGTCATGGGGACGAATTAGGTGGTCTGTTTTCAATTTTATGATCATTGAAAAGTCAAAAGAGAAAAAAAAAAGAAGAAAAAAAATTGTTGGAGACTCCCGGACTCGAACCAGGGATCTCGAGGTCCAGAGTCAAGTGCGTTACCGACATACCAAAACATTTCCCATAGCGATTACACGTAAACGGAAAATGAAATTCTCAAATCCCACTTTGCAAGTGAAATATGAGCATGATCCCGGCATCTGATCGAGAATTAAATGGCACATTTGTGATAGCTTATTGTCTCAGCTACAACATACTCGATGCTCAGCGAAAACCAAGCTAAAACGACGGAGATATTGCTCGTAAAAAACGGGAATGTAGAATCCAGTTTTCAGAAAAAGTCATGTCCCATAGAGAATACACGCAAAATGTAAAAAATTGACATGCCTGCATTAATCGCAAAAATACGCCATGATGCTTTCGTCAAAATGAAAATTCGTGTCAATTACATCTGTAGAGAATCGTCTCAGCTAGATCATATCAAAATTTGGAAGAAAATCGATCAATATTTACAGAGATACAGTCAATTTTCCAGAAATATGCTGACGTCATAATATGCAAATTGAAATTTTGAGTAGGGAGGCCATTATGATGACGTCATGAGTTAATAGAGGGTCGAATGAGACATGAACTCATATTTTTAATCCATACTCTATCAAAATATGGAAACAAAATTGGGTTCACCTTGCATCCTAAAGCGCGACAATGGATTTTGTAAAGGCATGTTTTTGCCCATGTATGCTATGTATTACAAGAGCTCGCACGCACGGAAATTATCTTAAACGGACGCTCATTCCGTTATTAATGGTCAGAAAAAGATGAACAAGGTATCAAAATGCTTGAAATAATGTGCGAAATATGATGACAGAGATAGTTTGGCGATTCTATGTTGGAAAATACCAGTACGTGCGAAAACGCGCGCGCATAAGTGCTCTCGCGCAATTTTTGAAAATGCTTAAAATGGCCTGAAACGTATGCAAAATTAATTTGAGACGATTTTGAGCATTTTAAAATTTTGCGCGCGCATTGACGCGCGGACGTACTTGCACGCGCGCGTTATTTGACCTGAATTTGACCGGACGGATATTGACCTCGATCATGATAAATATGAATGAGAAATAGCTTTTGGTTATGAAGATATGATCATGAGTTGATTTTTACAAAATGGCGCCTAGATGACGTCATCAGTAAAGGTCAATGTTGAAAACGTTATTGTGCTTTGTACATATGCCTATACATATGTGTGCCAAATTGCAAGGCATTTGATTGAGCGATTTTCAAGTTATCTTGCTAACAAAAAAGTGGTTAGAAATAAGAAAAATATTTAATAACTAGACATATAATACTTGTTTGGAACAAGTATAGGTGGGCTGGTCAACTAACATTTGAGACAAAATAGAGCAAAGATAAGCGACATAATGCTTACAAATTCTTAAAAGACAATATCATGTAGATTCATAACGTGAACTAAATTCACCTTCTATAGGCATAACACGCAAATTATGAAGTTTTTGACATGAGGCCTTTAATCAAAATTTTCACTATGATGACGTCATCAAAATGAAAAATGGTTATTACTGCGCTTGTAGAGAATTGTCTTAGCTACAACATATCGAAATTTTGAAGAAAATTGATCAATATTTACAGAGATACAATCAATTTTACATAAATATGCTGACGTCATAATATGCAAATTCGTATTTTGAGTTCCAAGGCCATTGTGATGATGTCACGATACACTTAATGGCCAAATGAGACATGGAATCATATTTCCGACTCATACTCTATCTTAATATGAAAACAAATTGAGGATCCCGGTGCATTCCAAAGAGCTATAACGGATTTTGTATAGGCATGTTTTTGCCCATATATGCTATGTATTAAAAGACCTCGCGCGCACTGACATTTATCTTGAATTTACGCTCATCTTGTTAATAATGGTCATAAAGAGATAAACATGGAATCAAATTCCTTGAAAAAATATGAGAAATATCATGAAAGAAAAAAAATGGCGATTCTATGTTTTTTAATGGTGTTACGCGCAAAAACGCGCGCGCATGCTCGTACGCGCGATTTTTTATAAAATGCTTAAAATGACCTAAAACGTATGCAAAATAAATTTGAGACGATTTTGAGCATTTCAAAATTTTGCGCGCGCATTGACGCGCGGACGTACGCGCACGCGCCTGTTTTTTGACCTGAAATTGACCGGACTGATATTGACCTTGATCATGATAAATATGAATGAGAAATACCTTTTGGTTATGAAGATATGATCATGAGTTGATTTTCAGAAAATTTCACAAAATGGCGCCTAGATGACGTCATCAGTCAAGGTCAAGGTTAAAATCCTTACTGTGTTTTGTCCATATGCCTATACATATGTGTGCCAAATTTCAAAGCATTTGATTGAATAATTTCAAAGATATCTTGCTAACAAAAAGTGGGTCGAAATAAGAAAAATAAATAATAAAGGCGATTTTAACAAAAATATAAGGTGGTCTGTATTAGATACAGCCCACCTGACTAGACATATAATACTTGTTTGGAACAAGTATAGGTGGGCTGGTCAACTAAAACTTGACACAAAATGGAGCAAAAACTAGATTTGTAATACTTGTTTGGAACAAGTATAGGTGGGCTGATCCAACAAAAAATTGAGACAAAATAAAGGGTACATTTAAGATAGCTTTTTGTCTCAGCTACAACATACTCGAAGTTCAGCGTAAATGAAGCTAAAACGATGTAGATATTGCTCGCGAAAGACGGGAATGTAGAATCGAGTTTTGAGAAAAAGTCATGTCCCATAGAGAATACACGCAAAATGTGAAAAATTGACATGCCTCCTTTAATCGCAAAAATACGCCATGATGCCTTTGTCAAAATGAAATATAGTAGCAACTGCATTTGTAGGAAATTGTCTCAGCTAAAACATATCAAAATTTGTAAGAAAATCGATCAATATTTACAGAGATACAATCAATTTTCCATAAATATGCTGACGTCATAATATGCAAATTGGAATTTTGAGTTCGGAGGCTATTTTGATGACGTCATGAGTTAATTGAGGGTCAAATAAGACATGAAAAAATATCTCCGAATCATACTCTTTTAAAATATGAAAAAAAATTGGGGTCACCTTGCATCCAAAAGGGCTACAATGGATTTTGTATAGGCATGTTTTTTGCCCATATATGCTATGTATTACAAGAGCTCGCGCGCACGGAAATTTTTGTTAAACGGTCGATCATTCCGTTATTAATAGTCATAAAGAGACAAACATGGTATCAATTTGTTTGTAAATATATGTGGAATATTATGAAGAAAAAAAATGGCGATTCTATGTTGTGCAAAAGTTTTACGCGCGAAAACGCGCACGCATGTGCGTGTGCGCGATTTTTTATGAAATGCTTAGAATGGCCTAAAACGTATGCAGAATGATTTTGAGACGATTTTGAGCATTTCAAAATTTTGCGCGCGCATTGACGCGCGGACGTACGCGCACGCGCGCGTTATTTGACCTCAAATTGACCGGACGGATATTGACCTTGATCATGATAAATATGAATGAGAAATACCTTTTGGTTATGAAGATATGATCATGAGTTGATTTTCGTAAAATCTTACAAAATGGCGCCTAGATG